GGGGGGCGCAAAGGGGAAGTGGCGGGCTCGATGTTGAGTTGAGGGCCACTAATTCACAAAATATGGTGATTTTAGGTGATTTTTAACTACTTGACCGTGATTTTCGAGGGGGGGGGGCGAGTAATTTAATTCTCGTTTATCAGAAACAAGATATTCTGCATAAATTCTTCGCAAGCATTCACTTCTTGCATTTCACCACAAGACAAGCTGGAACCGACCAGGGTATTGTGCCAATATGACCTGTTTTCTGTTAACGTCATGCATGACAGCTAATTTTCTTCTTTATTCTCTGACTAATTTTCGAGACATCATCAGTTTATATATAAATTAAATTTTCTTTGAATGGGTTCTCCTTCAGCTTCTTTGGGGCGCTTTACAAAACAGATTCTTTGTCTTGAAATCTAAGGAATTTAACAAAAATATTCCTCGGCTCGTCTTTGTTCTTTTTGTGGTAAAGCTGCACGATGGGTTATTCTCTAAATTCATGTGATCCGTAATAAAAGTATGTACGAACTTGATGCAGCCGTCTTGTTTCTCAAAAATTTTCTGGTATGCCCCAAATAATAACATTACTTCCACGACCACGATTTTAAAAATCATCTGCCTTCTGTAAATTAAAAAAGTCATCCTTTCAAACTTGGCTTTCACATCATCCATGTCCAAATTTATGCTTGCTAATCCTGTATGTATGTAATGTATGTAATTAGATTTTTATAGCGCATAACACCGGCGTCTCTATGCGCTGATACAACAGAGAGCAAAAAGAAAACTAAAACCATTGATCTATTCTAACTAACCATGAACAAAAAAAAAAAAACAAAAAAAAGACAAGCAGAGGAACCAAGATCAATACACCCTTCTCCTGCAGTTTAAGTACTGCTGCAAAGCAGCAGCTGGCACTCATAATTCACAGGTGCACTAGTGAACCTAGCATCTGACTCACCTATCCTACAAAAAAGAAGGGAAAGAAAAACTAATATGCAATTCTGAAAGGATGTGTCTTCAGCCTTTGTTTAAATGAAGTAAGAGACGGCGCTTCACGAATGTCCAGAGGCAAAGCGTTCTACCATGGTTTGACCATGTAATGCTTTGTAAATGATAGTGAGAATTTTAAAAACAATCCGTTGGGAGACCAGCAACCAGTGAAGGTTCTTAAGCACTGGAGTAATATGACTAAATCTAGGTGTACACCTCACAAGACGAGCAGCTGAGTTGAGCCGAAGCTGAAGCTTTTGAATTAACTTGGTGGCAGACCATAAAGTACGCATTTGCAGTGATCAAGTCTGGTGGTTAAAAGAGCATGCACAATCTTGTGTCGCATCGTCTGTAAGGAATTTGCGAATGTTTCTGATGTTCCTCAGGTGGAATGAGATTGACTTACACATGTCGCTGACATGTTTAGTCATCGTCATTGAGCTGTCGAAGGTCACACCGATATTATGAACAGCAAAAGAGGGTGTAACAACCGAGTCACTAACGGAGAGGATGTGACAGACTTGCGTTGTAGTATTGAACTTAGATTGGATCTGGAGTACCTTTGTCTTCTTGGTGTTCAAAACAAGGCCTAAGCCACTGATGTACAATTTCAATACATTTTTCAATTTTCAACTTTGCCTGAGTAAGTCCTTTAACGTTGGGTTTAAAACTAATGTGTAGTTGTGCATCATCTGCATTCACAGCTTCCTATTATTATTATTAGGCTTCCTTGCATAGTTAGTAGCGTAGACATGATTAGAGACAGCTTCCCTCCGGTGTCCAGGAGTTCAAATTCCATTGCTTGCATGTAAAATTAATTAGCCTGGCGGAGCTCAAAACAAACACGTCTCACTCGGACAGTGTCAGGTGTGTATATTATGAGCACCAAGAATAACACAGATGTGTATAAGAGACAGGCATAAATTCTTCGCAAGCATTCACTTCTTGCATTTCACCACAAGACAAGCTGGAACCGACCAGGGTATTGTGCCAATATGACCTGTTTTCTGTTAACGTCATGCATGACAGCTAATTTTCTTCTTTATTCTCTGACTAATTTTCGAGACATCATCAGTTTATATATAAATTAAATTTTCTTTGAATGGCGCAATTTCCAAGCACCCAGAGGTGCATATTCTCAAAATTTTCACACCTCAGCCCCAACCATAAAAGATCATGAGAATTTTCGCTTCATTTTGACTATACAATGGTGATGTGATGATGATGAATTTTACTATATAAAAGTGTCATTTCTGGCAATCTATGTGTAATTTTCCTCATTTTTTGTGTGTACCCCTTACTGCCAAATCCTGCATCCACCCCAGGAAATGGATATACATCCAGCACGCCTGGTATTCATGGTATGATCAGTAAGGAAGCTGCAAATGGTCGATTAATCTTAATGAGAATGGAGTGATTTTTTTAATTTGATTTATTTAATATGCTCTTTAAAAAATATGACAGAAACAAAAACACATGAACAGATCAAATTACAAAAGAGCATATCGGGGATAACCCTAAAATTGCGAAAAAGACAATTATTTCAATCGGGGTCCCTTCATAAAAAACTCTGCAGATAAAAAAACGACAAAAACAAAAAAATATATCTATATAAAAAACAGATTCAGTCCTTAATAAACCTTATACATATAAGGTCACACAAAGCAACGCAAATTGCAGTTATTATAAGAATATTTCCAATTTTCCTGTGAATTGAGTCACTAATTTTGTATATTTAAACACAACAATTATTAATTTTTCATGTATTTTTTTAGAAACTATGATGGTATACAATGCATATTAACAGAATCGGAAACCAATCGAACTTACCAAACTTCAGTTATCGTTGTAACAAACAATTACTGTACTACTAACAATGACAAGGACAACACAGAAAAACACGAGTAAATACAGTAACCTTCTCCTTTGCGATTGCTAATTAAATCTAAAAAATATTTTAGGCCTATTTTACACATATTTTTAAAAAATAACATAAAATGAAAACAGATTCATGCACAAAAATACCATATTCAAAAAAAACGAAATAAATATTATTATAATTGTGCTCATTGTACGGATATCAACATGAAATATAATGTTGGTTTTCTGACCTTGTGCATAGATTCTGATGTTACTAATGCATTCCACGCTTTGTTGAAAAGCTATCTGCTTCTGTTTCTTAATATTCCACCAATTTGTTGCTTTGCTCAGTATGAACAGCATCAAGGCACACGCTTAAAAAGATATTAGACATCATTAGGCAATAAGAGATTCAAATCTGCTAAGTTTATACCAAATAAATTATCAATTGTAATGATTAATTGAAAATTTATCCGATTGATGAATTAAAATTAGATTTTTTTTGTTTATGTTGTTGGGCAGTCAGAGTGTATTTATTTACCCTTGGTAACCTGATATTTGGACAGCTTGGCCTAATCAGCTCGGCCTAGCCTAATTGGGCCTGGTCTACCTTTAGCAAATTCTCTATATTCTTCAAATCTATCAAGTGTTACACAAAATTAAAGCTAAAGCATATTTACGTTTGATAAAAAAACAACATTTATTGATTGAATGTACATTGTTTTCATACCAATATTCGGTGGGGTTCCCAAAAATGTAAGGCTTAAAAGACCAGTCTCACCTACACTAATTTGCCAATAAATACAATCAATTTAAAAACGATCAATTTGATACTGAGTCAGTAAAGTTTTGAAACTGGACTGTTAGCGCTAATGGCTAAGGGTTAAAAACATTTATACCCCGCTAAAAAATGGAAGGTTCTGAGTCGCCCACCATGCACGTGGTTCTGCCGCTCTGTGAATACTATACTTGAGATTCGGTTCCCTGACATTGTTGCAGCTTAGCTCAGTCGGCTAATCTGGTGGTACCCACTGTGTGTGCGCTGAACCGTGGAGATCTCTAGGTCCCCGGTTCAATTCCCATCGCTGCCTCTCCTTGTGTTTCAGCTAGAGGGCTGAAATATAAGTTACTAGCGCACCGTCTTTCGGATGAGACGTTTAAGCCGTTGGTCCCGTGTGCATTATGGCCCATGTGCACGTTAAAGAACGCAGTGCACTCTTCGGAAAAGAGAAGGGAATTGTCTCCCGGTGTACTGCTCAATCACCACCAGAAGGACCCCACTGGAAATAAGTCTTCTTCTAGACTTTTGTGGGCTATCCTTGGTGTTTACACCGAATAAATCCAATCCAATCGTTGGTGTTCGTAAATCCCTGATTATAATTAATTCATGAAATATCGTAAAGATGATTTGTTGTTAACCTCACAAGTTATATTTTATTAGTCATCAAAATACAGTAGGGCTAGGCCTATCTCTCAATTCGGAGGACCTAAAGTAGAAGTTACACTACACTAAGTGACAGATGAAGATGCATCTGCATAGCCTAGAAATACCGCAGACGTGTGCAATCTCGGTATCTTTGTGATAGCCAATTTAACAACGTATAGCAGATAATATAACCCTAATCACTATTCACCGCTTTGATCACTGCTTAGACTAGAGTAATTAAGTGGTAGTTACATAAGCTATGTGATAATTGGCCCTTACTCTAAGCCTATCAAAATTATATTGTTTATTTGTATAATAGATCTCTTGTATCAGCCACACTTTGTCATTTAGTTTTGTAAGCTGAAGAAGACCAGATGACTGATCGAAAATTTCTTTTGAAATAAACCAGTGTTTTATAGTCCACATGACTCATTGCTTCAATTCCTTGTTTCAACGCCTTTTATATAATTTCAAGAACAAACGTGGATTTATGACGATATATATCTACACAGTATATGTATGTATTTTATATTATATATATATATGTGTGTGGATTTATGACGATATATATATATATATATATATATATATATATAT